CACATGAATAAACCAGAACAGCACAGAACTGAATGTGTCTCCATTATCAAGCAGTAAGACATACAGAGAGAGAGTGAAAGAGAGAGAGAGAGAGAGAGAGAGAGAAAGAGTGAGTCAATCATGATTAATCAACGGCCTCTCGTCTTTTAATAATCACCCTTCCGCCCATCTCTCTTTCCACACTTGACACAGGAAACCGGCCGACATCAGCAGAAAATGTGAAGTGAGTCACTATACAGGCAAACCACATGAAACAGGTCAACAACCTGTCCATCTCATGCCAAAAATAAAAGAATATAATAAGGTAAGAACGTTTTTACAATTATTTTTACCACAAAAAATGTAGAATGTATTTTTGGGTCCATTAACACTGGAGTGTGCAATTTTTTTCTGCGATAACATTCTCTTAAGATTTAAGATAAACCCCCATTAACACACACACACAAACACATATACATATCAGAAGTATTATAAATAAAACTGAAACTAAAATTAAAACCATGAAAAACATTTTCATTACTTCATTACTAAAATAAACGTAAACAAAAAAAATACTTAATGTACTACAATAACTAAAACTGAAATAAAAATTTATATATATATTTAAACAAAAACTATACCAAAAATGACAAAACCAAACAACAGAAAAATGTTAAAATAAAAATGGAAAACATAAAATCTGATTCAATATATTACTAAAAACTATAATTGTATCCCAGTGACACTTAAATATAAATATACACACATTTAAATAAAAATGCAATTTTATATTGTTTTATTATATACTACTTAAAATATATTTTAAATATTTATACAATGTAGTGGCCTTTAATTAATGCTGATTTAAATAATAATTTAAAAATTATACTGTAATAAAATTGTTATTGTTAAAATAATGAGAATCTAATGAGAATAACCACTCAGAATAATTAGAATTAAACACAAAAAACTAATACACCACAACCATAAAATGGTACAGGTGCATTTAACATTTTAATCAAAATTGGATTTTTAATATATATATATATGTGTGTGTGTGTGCGTGTGTATGTATGTATATATATATGTGTGTTTTCCCATGTATACAACAGCTAAATTAAAAGCGCAACAAATACTTTTAAGATGATAAATATTTTATAATTTAAAAAAGCATTTTTTTAAACATATTACAGTTGCATTATGGTACCAAGAATATGGTCATATTTTAGATTAGGGAACATATTCACTTTTAACAGTTTTCCCACAATAAGATCATGCTTATTAATAGTTAGTAAGGCAGTTCTTAAGTTTAGGTATGAGGATTAAGGGACCTAAAATATGATCATGCAGAATAAGGCATTAATATGTGCTTTAGAAGTACTAATAAACAGCCAATATGCTTGTAACATGCATGCTAATAATAGGTAATAGTGAATGTGTTCCCTAAAATAAAGTGTTATTATAATGTTTAATATATAAATTAATGTTTGGCAACACTTAGGGACCAATTCTCACTATTAACTAGTTGCTTATTAGCATGCCTATTATTAACATATTGGCTGTTTATTAGTGCTTATAAAGCACATATTCTGCATGATCATATTCTACATCTCTAATCCTACCCAATACCTAAACTTAACAACTACCTAACTATTAATAAGCAGCAAATTAGCAGTTTATTAAGGAAAAAGTCATAGTTAATAGTTTGTTAATAGCGAGAATTGGACCGTAAAATAAAGTGTGACTGAATGTTTACATACATTGAATTACTTTTGTTTGATTGTTCTTTAATTTGGGGGTAAATGTAACCTGGACGTGTAACCAGTCTCTGTGAGATTCACCCGTACGCTTGCAACTATTTTATATCGTGATCCATTTTAATCTTTAAAGCTGGCTTGATCTCATTCCGCTCTGTAAATTGATCACAACAGCTTTTAAGCATTAAATCATTGTGCTAAACGCGAGAAAGTGAAGCGAAATAAACAAAACACTGCCTTTCTGACAGCCTTCTGACAGAAAATAGGGCACTTTCATATTTATTTAAGGGCTGGGCTCAGATCCAGAGAAATCCTGTGAGAGTTTGAGACAGAAAGAGAACGAGAGAGAGAGAGAGTGAGAGAGAGAGCTGCCAGGCGCTCTGTGGCTTCCCAGCAGCAGCAAACACAGAGACAAGGGCAGACTGTCATTCAAAAACCACAATCACGAGGGAGCGTGTGAGAGTGTGTACCAGAGAGACGCGGAAAAAACCCACAGATCACACCGTCACATTTAGATACGACTGAGACGGCGGCTTATGAAACCAAATCAGGTTGAGCATCTCCAGCACCCTGATTAAAACATCATGATGTCTGGATTGCACAAATAAACACGATTCCTAACAGGACGAAAAGCAATCCATCCGTTTCTGTAAATGAAACTGTAGACTGCCATAGAACCAAAGACTGTAATTTTGCAATTAACATAATCCAGAGGGGATTTCATTTGAAGTGTTAAATGTCAAACATTTCACCTAGTGGATGTCACTTTAGTGAAACATCTGGTTATAGCCACTGTGGAGTGTTAATCGCTCAGCGATGCTGATCAGTGCTATAATGACTGGCAATTAATTCCTTATTTATGGTGATACAATTATGATACAAAGCATTTAAACTCCTTTAAACTTGCTTGATGAAAATACTGTTCTGAAATGGGGAACAAATAACATTTCATGTTTATTTTAAGCATAAATCTTTTTTTTTTTCTAATTTAGACTAATTGTTTTTCTAATATTAACAACTTATATATATATATATATATATATGATTTTCAAAATTCCGATTCGACTTTCGAATCTTGCCGATATTCGACTGATAGTCGAATCATATGTTTTGGGGGCCGGACAAAGAGTCAAGTCAGACATTCGACAGTCATAATTACCTTAACACACAGGGAAAATGTGTAATGGACACCTCGCAGATACAAAGTGTTTTGATTAAAAGATAGTTAACATTAAACATCAGCGAAACCCTAAGAATTCACAAATTTTTTTACAGTAGTGATCTCATTATAACGTTATGTATATGACAGTAGTTATTAATGTTCTGCATTCTGTTTTGAGCTGTGCATGCGCTGAAGATGACCAGCAGAATGAAGCAGCAGGTTTTTAATCAATGGGATTTAACTCATCATTTATCTCATATAGAATACGCTTCGTTATTTATACAACATAACGTTAATATTAGGACTTATCAACGACTTATCCCTATCTGCACAAAATGCCCTGAATGCACATGAATGAAGGTGTCTGCGCGGCTCTGAATGAACTCCTTTTGTGGACGCGTTCTTCACGCAACAACGTGCAGAAACACAGCAACTAAACTCTACAAATTCACAGCGTTTTATTATAATAGTGTTCTCATTATAGTTACGACAGTCCCAGTCATAGTTATTAATATTCTGCATTGTTTGTGCTGCTGGCGCTGAAGAGATAATCACCATAGTACAATGAAGGCTTACTGCAGCGCAACTCAACCAAATGCATCTTATACGAGATAAATAATATATACACGATATATATAAACCGGCTGAAATGTTTTGAAATCACTTGTACCCTACCTGATCGAAAAAAAAAATCCAGTCTCTCACTCTGCCTGTGTCAGTTTGAGTCTTGTTAAAGTTTTAAATCCCTGCCGCCAAGATGCTTCTCTGTCAGTCACGGATTATGGAAAGTGAAACTTAAATCTATAGGGGTGGTTGGATTTATTCAGGCACATTAAAATATTTATTTGAAGCTTCTTTCTTTTCAGATTCTTATTTACAGCATTATTTTAATAGGCTGTATATTAACTTATTGTGAGAAAACCGGTAGTTCTATGTGAAATCAGACATTTGAGCACCCCCATATAGCCAAAATGGCATGATCATAACACCCCGCGGATATTCGACTGTGAGATTGGTATCGAATCAGGCTCCTCCTATCGAAGCATCGAATCTTCGACTATTCGGGGTCACCCCTAACATACATACACACATACACATATATATATATAGTTTTAATTTGTTTGGCTTAAAATCCAACATGACATTAAAATTAAGTATGAAATTTTGTATTAGTTTACGAGAGTTACATGTCCAATAACCAAAACTTTACGTAGAAATTATTCATCAACAAGGCTGTTGGTAGATTCCAAACATTGTCAGAAAAATATTACTTCATAACTGCAATGTTAATTCCCACAAGCATACAAACAACAAAATAAAAACACTGACGTTCTACATTGATTTGATTGATTTTATTTGTAAGGCACCAGAAGCATTTCCTTACTGCAGAAATTTCCATTTATGTATAGTAAATGATTATGTACTTTGTTTTAATATGGAATGAAGCTATTTTATAACACAATTATTTTTGCACTGTAGGTTGTACAATATACATAAAATTAGGAGTTGAAAAACAAACAAAAAGACTTTTATAGCACAGAATGCTTACAATGCTTTTAACAAATGGCAAAAGGCAAGCAATGAATTCTGGGAGGAGATGGCTGTCAGGGGTTTAAGAAAGAAAGGAAGAGTCGACAACCTGTTCTCAAGTGCCTCGTAACGTAAGAGTCCTCTAAAACACAGACGTATCATTCAAGACTGACACAAAAGCATCCATTTGCACATAAAGCTTTAGGTCTATGTATAACTTACACCTTTATAGCAAAACACTTCGCATTTGGCTAGATCTGATTCTGAACTCTTAATGTTTACGCAGCGACCACTACATTTTTGTCCTTACTTTAAAAAGAAAAATGTCAACAGAATAGATTTGAGCATATGTAGGAAGCCACGAGGATAAATCCTGGCACTTCTTACATAAATACACTGGCAACCAAAAACGTTTTTCAAAAAAATAAAAAAACATGAGCAGATTTGTTTTGAAAGCACTACGATATCATCAGGTGGCCTTTCATTGACATTTCTTATGTTGGCACGGTTTCATTTTGACATTTAATTGAAAAGCGGTGCACTGTCCCATTAAGACACATTAGGAAGCAGCTTCACTCCTGAATCCGATATGGTTTAGCTGTGTCTATGTTATAGAAGGTGTCCATTAGAGCAAAATTTGGACCAACCAAATCTAAAGCATCCACAAAATCACAGACCTTAAAGAAAAAAAAAAAGGTGTAAAAAAGTCTGGTTTATATTTTCAGACCGAGAAAACCGAGAGGATAAAGTGTGATGTGTACTTTGGCATGAAAATGCGACACAATCTATGACTAGAATACTGCTATAGCTGTTTCAATACGAAAAAAAACAAATCTTTGAGCTTTTTCTTGATGCTTACTCCAGACTGAACAAATGTTAGACGAATTATTTATTTTTGGGCGGGTCAAAAGAAGCATATTTTATATATGTTTGCAAAAACCAACATTGGACACTAAAGTGACCCTGAGGGTGTTAGTGTGGACTTGCTATGGACTTACTGCCCCCTCTTGGTAGAATCACATACTACATAATACAACATGACACTGGGAGACTGAATATTCAAAACTGCAAATCTTAGCTTTTACCTTAAGTCCACTTAAGGTAACGTATTGTGCTAAAAAGTTATTTTGTCTTTGTTGGGAGGGCCTGTTATAAATCATACTTATGATTTCACATACCCGTTTCTGTAGTGCTATCAAAACGACAAATAAAAATGTTTAAAGAAGGTGCTTCTCACTTCTCAAATACCTTATTCTCACAACTTACCTTCTAAGGAAAACAATATGACTCTCACCATGTAGACAATCGACATTACTATAAAAAAAGACTGAAAAAATCTTTTAAACAGCATTCCTTTTCACTTGGTGAGGAGGTTAGCTAGCATCTCAGAGGATTCATCTAATATTCTCTGTCTAAGACAGCACAACAGCTTCCAAACACATTAGAAATCAGGCAAACAGGTAGATAGATATACAGTACGCTGAAGGGCCTAGTACAAATGTTTTTTCTTCTTTCAATACTACTAATCAAGCAGTTTAAACGGATAGTTCACTCTAAAATGGAAATTCTGTCACTATTTACTCACCCTCATGTCCTTCCAAACCTGTATGACTTAGTTTCTTACGTGAAACGCAAAAGGAGACATTTTGAGGAATGTCCAAGCTGCTCTTTTCTTACAATGAAAGTGAATGGTGACCACAGCTATCAAGCAAAATTTCCAGTAAATAATAATTGAAATCTTTTAAGTTTTTCGCACAAACAGCTTCAGAACACTTGGAATATAGTACATGAGGGCATATGGATTAGTTTTGTGAGGATTTTATGGTGATTTTTGTTCTTGACTGCTTTGGACTCCATTCACTTTTTATTGTATGGAAATGAGCAGCATGAACATTCTTCAAAACGTCTCTTTTTGTGTTCCACACAAGAAATTAAGTCAAACAGGTTTGGACTGACGTAAGGATCATTTACTCATCCTAAGGTCATTCCAAACCCTTGTGACTTTCAACTTTCTTCTTTTCCATACAGCGACCACATCTATCAAGCAAAATTTCCAGTGATTAATGACTTAAATTGATCTTTTAATGTCTGTTTCTCACACAAACAGCTTCAGAACATTTGGAATATAATACATGAATCATATGGACTAGTTTTTGATTATTTATTATTTGTTGTTGTTTTTTTTGTTTTTTTTGACAGAGTTAAACTAAATTAGTCCATATGACTATGTTTATGAATGTACTATATTCCAAGTGTTCCGAAGCCGTTGCATAAGAAAACTTTAAGAAATAAGAAATTTTGCTTGACGGCTGTGGTAACCATTCGCTTTTATTGTATGGAAAGGAGCAGCATGAACCTTCTTCAAAATATCTCCTTTTGTGTTCCACAAAAGAAATATAGTCAAACAGCATTGGGATGACATAAAAATGAAACAAATCCTCATTTGAACTTGAACTGTCCCTTTAAGGTAGGATAGATGCAACAGCCGTGCCTTCGAACAATAACACCGACCCTTTAAACTCTAAATGGATTATGCCGCGGCTAAGTTTTTAGATTCAAAGTTGCTTTTAGTCTCAGAGTTACTGCCTGGGGGGAGCTGGAGGTGACGGCGGGGAGGCCAGCCGGTTGGCTGAGGCAGAGAGGAAGAGGGGTCATGGGCAAGGCCAGCCCCTGCAGCTGAGAGAGCTGGTGAGCCTGGAGCTGCTGCTACAGAACACACACATACAGTGTTGTTACCAACATAATAGTAGCTTTCGGTTACACTTTATTTTTAGGTGCCCTTGTTACAGTGTAATTATACATTTAAGTACCGAGTAATATTAATTAACTACATGTACTTACTAAAAGATTAGGGTTAGGTTTAGGGTTTGGCTTACTTGCATGTAATTATGCATACACATGTAACGTGTAACAAGGACACCTTAAAATAAAGTGTTAATTTCTTAGTTTACTTCTCATTATATTACTATAAAACATAGTTTCAGCTCTAAAGTATGACTTTTATATGTTTCAAATAAATGCTTTTCCTTCTATTGTAGTGGCTGCCGAAATTTCAGCTTTGCCATCACAGGAATAAATTATATTTTAAAATATATTAAAATATAAAACAGCTCACTATATAACTGACCCCAAGCATTTGAATGGCAGTGAATCTATCTGACCTACGTTACTTGGTGGAATAACGGTTTACGGTGATTATTTTTATTAATATTAATAAATGTAGTTATTTATTGAACATTGGTACTTTTTGAATTATATTGGTGCTATTTAATAAAAGCGGTTATTTGATAAAGTAAATATAATTTTCTGTTGTATTTAATAATATAAAATAAATTACATTGTATGGCCTCTCGTACCCCGTACGAGAGGCCATACCATCTTATTCTAATGGTTATTTTATAATTTTATGGGTAGTTTTACTTGTTTTTGCATTGTATTATATTTATTTTGCATTATTTTCAAATGTACAAAGCAAATGCTGCAAATCTTTTCGCAATATAAATGTACAGTTTTTGTCATGCCAATAAAGCATGTCAAATTGAAATTTAAAAGAGACAGAATGAACAAATTTAGAGCCATATAAATGCAATAATTACCATTAAACAGTCCCTACAGCAACAATGCACAAAAAGTATTAATAATGCATTTCTTTATAGATAATTAGACTGCCATCAACCAATGCAGATGCATTTCCATAAGCATAGCCTACTGTATAAACCTGTGTGCGCCCACATGAGCCACACACACACACACACACACACAGAGAGACAGTTTACCCGTATGATGGAGTTCATCTCTGGTGGGGTGACCTGTTTGGCTCTCTCTATCGCCCCCAGAACCTGCTGTTGGTGCTGAAAAAGACACACAGACACACACTAAAAAAAATCACATCACATCTTGTACAGTATTCACACTCACATTAATATCATTATGCAAACATAATCATGCATTTACACTATAAATACCTGCCCTCCAAAATAATGCACTGAACCCATAGAGTTAATAGTGAAATCTTTACATCCCTAGCCTGTTTAAATCAGTTATGTATAAACAAATATGCAATATCATGAATAAGATGACAAATCAGACTATCTGTGAGCATTTAAGATGAGGCGTAATGCTATAAACTACATGTTGAGGTAACGCTGCTATTTCTCTCTGTACCTCTTGAGACAGGTAAGGCAAGACTTGAGCACAGATCCCATTTAATCTCTTCACGATCTCTGCCTGCAGGGAGAAACACACACGTAAACACACAATTTAGTTAATATATTTAACATTTAGTGACAATGAAAAGAACAAAGATATGAAGAGAAAGCTCATATCAGGAAAACGTGATTTTTCCGAGTCCTAAAAAATGCCTGCAAGAGCTTGAGAGAAAAAAAAATGGAGAGAAACATGCAGTGGGACAAAGAGAGAGGCAACAATAAGCCTGTTTCAATAGCCTGCCATGCTGACACTTCATACAGTATGCAGGAGAGAGAGAGAGAGAGAGAGAGAGCGAGAGCGAGCGAGCGAGAGCGAGAGAGACAGAGACAGAGACAGAGACAGAGAGAGAGAGAGAGAGAGAGAGACAGAGACAGAGAGAGAGAGATGACTGCATACCAAACACTGGCATGCTTTATTCTTTGCATTCATGCCCTGTATTTCTGTCTCGCACACACTCTTCCGTGCCTGGCTGACTTTTTAAAAACATATTTCACCTGTGTCACATAAAGGGGCAGGGACTGATGAATTGTGCTCGTGAGACTGGCTGCAGTAGCGGCAATGGAGCGTGCCTAGATTTCCACGTGCAGTCTGTCAGTCTAACTAACTCTCTGCCATATACAGATCACACTATAGACATTACAAGGTTATAAACAGCAACACTTATTGGTGCTGTTCATGCATTCCACATTTTGTGGGAAATGAAGCAATTTCAATCACTTCATCATTCAAATATACTTATATGTTTATATATAAATGGCATATTTGTACATTTGTACTACGTACTAATATATATATATATATATAAAATGTGTGTGCATAGAATAGAACAATAGAGTAAGAACAGTAATAGTGATATAATATTACAATTTAAAATAAGTGTTTTGTATTTTACTGTTATAATATAATTTATTCCTGTGATCAAAGTTGAATTTTCAGCATCATTACTCCAGTCTTCAGTGTCACTGATTTTTGAAGGATCATTTCTAATATGCTGATTTGCTGCTCAAGAAACATTATTATTAATAGTTTTGTGGAAGCCATGATAAAAATGTTTTTTAAGGATTCTTTGATGTATAGAAAAATATCAGAAGAACAGTTTATTTATTTTTTTAATCTTTTGTTTAATAAAGAATTTTGAGCTTGTTTTTTATTTATTAGTTTTATTATTATTTTTATTTAGTAAAGCTTCTGAATCATTTTAACACATCATTACTGATTAAAGATATATAGGATTATATACTATATTTTTTTCAAGATTCTTTGATATTGATATATATATTGATACATACAT